AGCACAGATGACTAACTAGCTCCCTGGTTACCGCAAGTGTTGGCATGGCAACCAGCAGAGCATGACTGTAGGCACCATGAGCAGAGTTGGAATAAATCTTGATCAGTCAGATTGCGTGTCTGGAGCTTTGCACAACAGCTAACAAAACGACAATTTGTGCCAGGATAAAAAGTTTGGCAAGTATGACTTACTTACATAAAACGATCCGTCTTCAACCTTTGGTTCGTTCACCTATTCTCTCTATTTCGTGGAACGAGCAGATGGTACTTGTTGCGTATTGCAAGCTGTGGGTAAAGTAGGTCAAAACAAACCCTTTACAGATAAGTGCCCTATAAAGATTGATAAGTCAATAATAAACAAACTTCAGCTAGGTCAAGGCCCAATGGTGAATTTCTAGATCTTTACTGCAGTGGAAAGGTCTGTTGACTATAATAAAGGCAGGTGTTTGTGCTATGTGCTTATTGTTTTTTGTCTCCACGTCGAAGCTATATTTGGGCAGCCTACAAACACAACATGACTTTGTTTTGACTCCTAAAAGTGTCCTTTGTCTTTCTCACGTCATCCCTGTTTGTAGATACAGTGTCACCCACAAGATTCTGAAATAAAGTTTTTGTAGTTTGCATCTTCTGCCTGATTTCATCTTGGTGTTTTAAAAAAGTCATGAATGTTCTCATATCTTTGTCAAGTTCTGTTGAAGTTGCTGTGTAACTTCAGTTGAACCTTATCTGCTTTTATTTTGAAGATCGCCCTCCTTCCCAGGATGAAAATAGGAAGCCTGTATTCTCTGCTGTTCATTCATTTAAATCCGACAGCCAGAATGTGGCGCCAGAAAGAAAAGCGCCTACAAGTAATTAACAATAAAATCAGCGACTGATAATTCATGTGGGATTTGTATTGTCAAAGTGCTGTGTTGTTACATTCTTGAGTTTACAGTCAAATTTTCTCTGGATTAAATGTGCAAAGTCAAAGCTGCTGGGTCCAGCTGGTTTGTTTTAGAGAGACCACAGTCGCACTAATCACCCACCTCCTCTCTTAAATTCATTTATACAGTTAGGAATCCACTCTGACAGCAGTGGCTAACCTTACTGTGTAGACTACATATAAAGTTGCTCTAATATATTCCCACAGGACGGCTTCCCACTCTGTAATTTGTTGACTGGTGCACAGGGTCTGAAGAGCAGCAGTACTCTTTAATGCCTCTATAAACACAAGCACACATAAACATACACATGCATACACACAAACACACAGACACACTATTGCCTTGAGAAAGAGTTGAGAGCGGTACTCAGGGAGGAATAATTATAGATGGCATTGAATTTCCTTCTCCACCATGTGCAAACAGGGTGCCGCCAAGAGCGTTTGCTTACTTCACATGTTTACACTGTGGCACTACTTGGCAGCAGGGTCACATTATTGTGACTGAATATCTGCAGTCGGGCCTGAGGAGCAGGGAGCTGCCAGACAGACGTACAAGTAGCCTTGTTTTATTATTAAATAACCAGGACTGGAAACTGCTGCACCAGGATGTATCAGCAGAGTTGGGCTACATCAATTCTAATACGTTTCAATAAATGCATGAACTCTGTTATGGATGCAGAGTTTAAAACAGAGAAGTTTGGAGGCGCTAGTGGCTGAGTCTGTGTTTTAGTTTTACGCTTGCCTTCGTTGATTTGGCAGGCTCTTATCACATGACCCCATACCGGAAGAAAACAACCAGCATTAGCCTCTGCTACCGGTGTAAAATGGAAGGTAGTGTAGGAAAGTAGTGACCCTGTCGACCAATTTTTGTGTACGCCAGCACGCGCACGCCCAGTGTACATGAGTGGTCACGTGATATATGTTTTCAGTCGTGTTAGAACAGACGGGAATCAAAACAGATTCAGAGCCAAAACGCTTGTGTGGACAGAAATCATTTCTTGCAGTTTCCCTTCACGCAGCTGAATTTTGAGACGGATTGTAAGCAAGGACACACTGGGTATATGACTAAGCGACTGTTTGCCTGCAGATACAGTATGTGTGTGTTTATTATGCATGAATGCATGAAGCATCACTCTGCACATACCTGGAGCTGTTGTATTTGTCGCAGAGAATAGACTGTAATTGAATATACTTCTCTCAGCTTGCTGTAAAGCCACATTACCAGTCCCTTTGTGGAAGGGAGTACGGGGAGGACGCACAGTGGCCCTGAGGGAGAGGGGGGAGGGAGAGGAAAAAAGAGCAAGAGATACAGTGATTCAGTTAAAATCAGAGTCAGGATAAAGAGCAAAGTGAGGGAAAAGAGGAGAAACGGCCAGCAAAAGCTCTACCTAAATTAATGGTGGAAAAACAACCTGCAAGTGTTTTAGTGAGCTGCAATAAACCTGGTTTATATTTTACAAAGCTCTGCATGAGAGGAGAAGGGATGAACACTATTTCATCATAAGATAGTTCCTCATTTAGTATTTTAATGATGATAGAGCGTGCTGTCTCCATTAGGTATCAGGTGTCTCCAAAGGCGACAGAATGTGCAGCCATTATGTAACTTTCTGTTTTATTTTCTGCTAAACAGAAAGTGACCTGAAAGAACAGAGACAGCAGAGGAGGAACGAAACGAGGGAGAGAGAAGCAAATACAGAGATTGAAAGTTGCACTGATCAATAACACAAGAGAGGTTGCGTTTACATTGTTCAATTGGGGCTAGTTCAGTGTCTGTTGTACATTCCTCCACTGTATGCTGTGCCGAGCGAGGGATTGACGGAGTGGGAGAGAGAGACAGAGTGAAAGAGACGGGGTGAGGGAGGGTAATGCAGAGATTGCTGTGAGGACAGGAAGACATTATGATGTGACACAGTGGAAAACTGGCAGGAGGGAGAAGGAGGAAGGTGGGGGGTGGTAAAGCTATCTCGTAGGTGTTATGAGGTTAAGCCACCCACCACTGGCTGTCACCATGGTGACACCATGGTAACAACCAGGTGTTCAACCAAGAAGGAGAAAAACCTTGCTTATGCAAAGGGGCTTCCTCTGTGTGCCTCTTGCTCAGTATTTGTCTCTATCCGTTTTATTCAGCGGGTCCATCTGCAGGTAGCGTTTGTCTCAAAAGTGTATTTACATATTAAAAATCACAGATGTAATTTTATTTTTCCATTCAGCAAATGACCTTTTCCATCGCGTTATGATCCCTCTCTCATCTGTGCAGTTCTCAGAAAGTTGTCCCTTCTGAGTCACAGCAGGAAACAACAGTTGCTTGGTAGAGGAGCCTGGATGCATGTGTTGTGTTCATGCAGTGTGTTTAAAGGCCCAGGATTCTGCTGCAGCTTCAGCTCAAAACTATTCAGTTCAGCCCATCTCTTGGAAGCAGCTTTATCCATGTTTACGTACTACGGTACGTCGGGTCAATGTTGAGGTCAAATATGATGATTTATTTTTGATTATCACTATGTATATGCGTATATATATATATATATATATATATATATATATATATGTGAATGTGTGTATATATGTCTCTGTATGGCTCTCCCATGCTTAAACCTATAAGCTGATTTGATAAGGTGCTTACAGAGATCTCCGTTTCAATCCTTTGGTTTTAGCTTGGTTACATCACTGCGGCTGGCTTTGTGTGTGTGTACGTATTCGCTCTGTGTGTGTGTCTTGCTCAGCAGGGTGGGTTGGGTGGTGGTTGGGTAGGGGCGGTGGTGGTATAGAAGGCTAACAGACGCTCAGCACATGGAGACACACTACCAGCAATGACACACACATGCTTGTGCCATGGGCACACTGCAGGCCAGACACACAAATACATTAAGCAAACACACACACACCACAGACCTTTGCTCTAACTCTTAAAGGCATACTATCTGTACCACGTTCTTAAACACACGTCACACCAACCGCGCAGTTTACTTGATATTCATATGAATGGTTCTAAATGCAAAACACCTCTCTGTGTTCACTTCACACCTGTACTTGGCTGATGGAAGGTGAGAGATTCACAAAGAGACTCGGCACTGAGCAACATCTGTGCCTCTCCTCTCTCCTGTGTTTGTTTCCAGTTAAGTCGATGGTAGTTAAACTTTGGACATTGTAATTGACTGGATTCATTAGGACAGAGTCAGATTGTGTTGATACTAAAACAATGTGCGGCGTGTAATGAAGTGTTTGACCTTTGATCAAGCCGCTGTCATTCTCTATCAGTCATTCACAGTATTTAAAAGATGTTAAAATTTTACAGCTGGATTGAACCTTGTTGATGTGTTTAAAGGAAAAATAATGTAACATTCAGAAAACAGTGAGGAGCAGCAGAATGGTGAGAGTAAGAATAATCCACCGCAGCTCCAGCTCTCACTGAACAGTTCACTGTTGCCTTCGTCTCTCTGTAGGTTTCAGAAATGTTATTAATCTAAAGGTATATTCCCACCTTTAAACTCAGAAAGACATGCTGAAGTGTTTCACCCCAGAGGTGCTGCTCAGTAGCAGTCGCGGACCTTTGACCTCTGACCTCTGTGTAGAGGGGGCCAGAGGTCTGGCCTTCTGGAAACAACTCTCACACTATTAGTCCTTTTATTATTATACGTGGCTGTCACCAACGACTGCCGCCGTGTGGGGCAGGTTGCACATTTCCACTGCTTACATTCCTGTATATCTCACAGTGAGTCATGTTTGATTGTGTTGAAATTAGAGTGTTGATCTTAGAAAGACACTCGCAGTGTAAAGGGTGAAAGGGGGACGGACTACCAGTATGTGACAGAAACGGGAACCATGGACAAAGAAGCAGTCAGAGGGATGAGGGAAACGTCATGAGGAAGTTAGAGAGACAGATGATAGCTGATCACGACTGCGTCCTCAGCATTTTGATCCTTTTTTGGTTTCCTGTTAAATTACATGAATCTGTGTGTGTTCTGATTCGACTATGTTCAGTGTGACATGTTAAACACATGTTTGTACCTCTTGATGTGTCCCAAATGTTTCCCACACACAGCCCTAATGTTATCTTTCTTTTTTTTAAATCTGTGTTGCAGATAAACCTGCGGCTTATTTTAGTCAGTGGGAAGACAAAAGAATTCCTCTTCTCTCCAAATGACTCGGCTGCAGACATCGCCAAACATGTCTACGATAACTGGCCGATGGGTAAGTTTGTCAAATACTTAAATAATTACCCACATATGTATGTTTTAATTGTGTCAACATAGGAAACACTTTGTTTGATCCATAGTGCATATATGTTTAAAATCCTAATCTGTAAAGTTACAAGTAACTATGAAGTAATGTATTATTGGAGTTAAAAGTACAATAGGTCCTTCTGAAGTACCTCACATTTATTTTGTTTGTATAGCACTTTTGCATAATTTTACAAAGAGCTTTACAGGGAAGAAATAACACGAGTGTGAATAAGAGCCAGAGTCAATCATTTGTAAAAGCTTTCACAATAAGAAAAGTTTCTAGAAGCTATAGATAGAGTCTCTCTAAGTTCAATGCTCTGATAGCAAAAGCTCAGTCACCCTTTGTTACGAGGTGAGACTTGGGAGTAACCAGCAGGGCTACATCCGCTGACCTTAGCGGTGGAGAGAGCACACACCAGGTCAAAAAGCGAGCGATGCATTTTTAAAATCAATACGAAATTTAACAGGGAGCCAGAGTAGGGAGGCGAGCACAGGCGTGAGTCAGGGTGTTTGAAGATGTACAGTCAGAGAACATTACATCACTATTACCCAGGTATTGTCTCGATGTTATTATGCTGTGATATTCACTGACACGTTCTGAATTACATCACATTAATTAATCAATCATTGTTCATCGCATTGATGAATCAGAACAGCTGCACCATGTTTGACATGTTTAGCTGCAAACGCACTCGAAAAACCAGATGATCTGACTTTTCTTGGATGTTTCTTCACATTTCAATGATAAAGGCTGAGAAGCTTTTATTTCCACATTCAGACCCACTGCTAATTACTTACAGATAGCTCTGTTTAACCGTGTGGCAATGTGCAAATCTTTGGTGTAGGACAATTAGATCACACTCCGCCCTACTGCCTGATTATCATTGCATACAAGAATGTGGGATCTCAGTACAGCCACCTCCTTTCTATAATACACCCACTCCCTAAGTGCTGCTACGCCTTATGCTACCTTCAAATCTGAAACAGACTTTTTCCCACGGTGCTGGGCTGCGTAAAACAAAAACGATGAATTATACCAAAGGACTCCGATTACCCTGGACAAGAGGATGGGCTAGAAAGAACAGAACCTTTTGTGCCCTGTCAGTTCTGAACATGTCCCTCCTAGACAACAGATCTGAACCCTGTGAGACCCAGAGCAGGCACTCGCTCAGCACCAACACCCTCTGTTTATCTGGAGACAAACATCTGGTGGCCAGACTCTGCTGCTGCTGTGCAACTCCCACCCCCCTCCTGCTGCTCTCTCTCTCTCTCTCTCTCTCTCTCTCTCTCTCGCCCTCTCTCTCTCATTTAATGCCTTCAACTTTTTGTCTATAGCTCTTCTCAAGCCGCACCTTTTTGTCTTTTTTTCTCTCTCTCACATTATGTTGTGCATCCCGCAAAGCCCGCACATTACACATTCTGCTTATAATAATATAAAGTCTGTGAACTTCTCAAAATATCTTAAAACGCAGTTGTTGTTGTTGGTCGTTTCCCCCCCGATGCAATGAGAGATTTCTTTTCACTACACTGTGTCTTAGAAAGACTCAAAACAGAACTAGTGTTGTCCTGTTTTGAGTCTGCTCAAGCCAAAGCCCCTTAACAATTACATCCCTTGTTCCCTTTTCTAAATTTGCATATAGGAAAAAAAACAGAGGACACAGTGAGACAATTATATTTTGTTGACTTTTCTCTTTTAATCTAACCCTAACCCTTTTTTCAGACTGGGAGGAAGAGCAGGTCAGCAGTCCTAACATCCTGAGGCTCATCTACCAGGGACGTTTTCTACATGGCAACGTAACACTAGGAGGTGAGAAAACACAGAAAGCCCCCCCTCCCCACGTCTCCCTGACTTATGTGCTCACAGACATAAACGCTAAATCACGGCAGTGTGCGTTGCTGGAAAGTTCTGCTGTTCTCATCTTTTTCCCTGAGCCACAGAACAGAGGTACCTCAGTGCTCCGGACAAGCCGGCTTTGACGGAGAGAGGGGAGGAGAGAGGAAATACAGAAAAAGAAGGGAAAGAGAGTGGTCAGGAAAGGGGCAAGACTGGCAGCGGAGTAGACCTCAGGCAGTACAAAGACGAGACGGAGAGGGTGGGGGCGTGAAAATGAATGCCATAAGTGAACAGAGAAAAGGAGGATGTCGTCTTTTGAGGCAGGCCCTCTTCACTTCCCCCGTTTTTTTCTTCTACTTAACCCAATTTTGATTTGACTGGAGTATTGTGTGTGTGCTGTCCCTAACCCTTCAACACTCAGCCCATCACTGGGATAATTCCCTTATCGTTCATTTAATGTGTTTGCACATTGACACAGCATCCTGGAGCCAAAAGTCTGTGGTTTTGAAATGCAAACATAGACGCAGCACACACACACACACACACACACACACACTTACCTTAAGATCAACTACAGTTAATCGTTTGTTTAATTGATTATTAAAATGTATGAGTAGGTTCATTTATTCAAATACAACTTCTCATGTTTGACAATGTGACATTTCTGTTGTGTGGTGATGGAGTTGAAACTAGGACACAGCAGAAATCAATATTGCATTATTGACAGGGTTAAATTCCTGATATTGATAATCATTGATCTGGACAACATAAATAACATATGATTATGTCATCCTGATATATTTTCTACTGTCATTGTCAGTTGTTTATCCTCCACTGTCAAAATGTAATTCACTAGATTTTTCTCTCATGAGTTTGCTTCCTGTTTACACAGTTCATACAGTTTCAATCCACATTCAGGAGCAGCAGCCAAACACCGTGTGCAAAATAACAAATAATTATTTTACAGACAGGTTTACATTCTTCATCATTTCAGACTGTTTTGTTACCTGCAAATATTATTATTATTATTGTTCTGGATCAAAATGACCAATGCAGTCAAATATTTCATTAGCTTCAGCTACAGCATATTATTACAGCCCTACCATCAGTTTTATTATTTTATCATTATTGTACGGAAAAAAGCAATGCAAATTTCTATAACTCTATATATTTGTGTGTGGTTTCTTTTTATATTTAGCCATTTATAATAAGGTTTATGGTTGAACTGTTAAATATCAAGCCTCAGGTACTTTTCTGTTACATTCTGTGTGTTATGAAGCAGCTTAAAAGTACTTTATAACTTTTCTATCTATTTATCAATGTTGTATTTCCTAGCTTAACACCTTCCAGTGTTGTATAATCCGTTTTTATGTCTTGAAGAGTCAGGTGAAACTGGTGTAAAGTTGAACCTGACGGTGTACAGACAGATATACTGTCGCTCAGTGAATATCCTCTAACTCTCTGTCTGTCTCTCTCTTTTCTCCTGTTAGCCCTCAAACTGCCCTTGGGGAAGACCACAGTGATGCATTTAGTTGCCAGAGAGACTTTGCCTGAGCCAAATTCCCAAGGTAACCAGCTCTGCGTCTCCCTTCCTTCCTTTCAGAAGGCCTTTCACACTCTCAGCAACTTTAAGCGCTCTATGCTCCCAGCCATTATTTATCTCTACACATGGCTTCAGTTTTGGGAAAAGCCACTGGTGCAAGTAATTGGCCTTAAATGTATCCCCAAGAGACAGTCCACTGCGGACGATATATAGCCAATAAAAATCATATTAGGAGACAGGTCTACTTTTAGTGGTTGTATCTGTGATCCTTTTTTTCGGGACGACCCGGCATTATTTTGGCTGAACCTCCAGTGTCGGCTCAGTGAAGGTGCTGTGTTTCTTCATGCAGTGTTTTTACTTTTAAATCGTCTGAATCTTCAAACACTGAAGACAATTTTTGTCAGTGATCGTGTCTCCAGGGCCTTTTTGTTGAGACTTCTGTCAACAGTAAAACATTTGAAATTCATGAAAATGGTTGAATCGATTATTTTTCACAATTTTAAGTCGGAAAAACAACAAAACAGACAGATAACATCTGCTGAATTCACAATGTAGTTGTTCTCATTCACATATTATTGTATTTTTTGAACAAATATGAAATTGAGATATGTTCTGGAGCTGCTGAGATAAAATCTCGATGTTATCAGATAAAATGAAGATACATTGAGTTTATTGATAATCCCATAGTATAAGTCAGAGGCAAATGAAGGATGTTGTATTTAAAGTTACCGTCCCTGAGTCTTCGTTTACTTGTACACACTGAAACAAAAAGCCGGAGGTTTGTTTCAGACACTGGAGGCCATTTTAGAAAAGGTAAAAGTTGTTGTCATCTGGCCTGAGAGGAAAAGATATTCTTAGATATTTATTTTTCTGAGTACCTGTGCAGGATCAGTGTTTCTTGTTGTTGACGATGTGTGTGTGTGTGTGTGTGTGTGTGTGTGTGTGTGTGTGTGTGTGTGTGTGTGTGTGTGTGTTTTCCCAGGTCAGAGGAACAGAGAGAAGACCGGGGAGAGTAACTGCTGTGTCATTCTGTAAATACACACCTCCGCTGCCAGCCCTCTTAACCCCTCTCATTGGCCCTCAACGTTCTGGACCCCATGAGCTTGTCCCTGTCCTGTCCTGGAGTCTGTCCACACTGCGGACATGCACACAGACAAACACACGCTCTCTTCTTCTTCCTCTTCCTCTTCTTCTTCTTCCCTCTTTCATACACTCACATGTAACATGGAAAGACAGCAGGCTCAGTCAGGCTGATCCAGGACACAGAGCTGAGAGCAGGAAATTGATAAACGATAGAGTTGATTCCTTCGTTGTACTTGATTTGTTGTCATAACGGAAAATTAGAGGAACTGGAGATGCATGTTTTGTTTTTCTTTCTCTCTTAATGCACACCTTTTAAAGCCTTCTGCCATACACACACACACACACATGCACACACACACACACACACACACAC